GTGAAGGACAGAATGCCTCAGGTGGGACTTGGAGCACAAGGTCAGTATTGCATTTAAGGTTCATTTACCTTCTTCCTGTAGGGCCCCTCTATTTAGTGAGCTCTGAAGGCCTGTATCTTGTTACTGCATCAAGGCTGTAACCATAGCTAGCTCCTCGCAAAAGCCCAAGCACCTTGCACTCACTGCACAGTCCATTAACCCTTGTCCTCCCAAATCAACACAGCAGAGCACCGAAGTTCAGATACATTTCCACATCCTTGTTTTGTAGCCATGGTTTTATCATACGAGGAAAAAACACAAGGAACCCATGCAGGCTGTGAGATTCCATCTTTTTAAAACCATGCCTTTGCCAAAGCTTCTGTTGATCATTTCTTTTCCCTTCTAATCAGAAGGCCTTGTTCCCGAAATGCCTTTAGGACAGATATTTGTTTACAGTTAATGACTGCTCACTTAAATGCAGGGACCCCTAAAGTGATTTTGGTCACTAACAAACATGTCCTGTTCCACAACCTGAGGACATCCATCCAGAGAGAAATTTGGAAGAAGGATTAGTTTTACCTAGATTTGAATCTCTAGTTTTCCATGAGCGCTTGAAACACTTCAAAGTGCAGCTAAAGAATGCGACATACCTGATATTGCTACTTAAAAAAAGGAAGATTCTGCTTTTTGCTGCAAGCACACAGTGTTCAGAACTGGCTCACAGGTGCTCAGTAACAGTGAATCCTATGGGCAAGAAGCTTTCTCTGGAAGAACACTTTCAGATGACTGATGAAGCTTAAATATTCTTCCACTCCTGGCACACCCTTTCCCCAAAGACATGTATAGAAAAGTCTCCATGTATGCCTCTGAGGGTAGACAGAAAACAGCAGTTTGACATCCGCATGTTTGAACTTGAATAGCTTTTTGTGACTTGCTACTCAGCAGAAAAAACACAGATAAGCTGCAGTCCCATCTAGCGCTTTATATTGACATCACCTCTAGTGAGGAAGAAGGGCTGTACAGACATAATGTACCTTCATCAAGATCAACAAGAGCACACTCCCTGGAACCAAGATAAAAAACAGAGATAAAATATAAATTCCATAGGTGGGGTAAAAAAATATCTCCCCAGTGTGGCTATTCGAGTCAGGCTCCAAATTCCTCTCTCCCCATCATCACTTTAGCAGACAGTTTTTACAATGTTCACAGCTTTAAGTCTCCTCAGTCTGTAACCACAAGACACCAGCTGAACCTTCTGAAGGTTTTGTGCCTGGTACTATCCAAGTAAAGAATGAGGCCAAACTGCAGGATGCACCAGCAACAAGAGACCTCCTTCTCCACACAGCCTGGCTCAACTGTCCTGGTCAGTTATTCAAGATAAAATCTCAAAATAGTTCCTTCACTGTAGGTACAAAGAGGCAGAACACCAGAAAAAATGCTAAGTGTATATTCAGGGCTTGAAATTACTATAATTACCTGAGGAATTGCAATGGCTTTATCACATTCGTGCATTTAAGGATCTATCTTCTGTTTACAGTCAGGCTCAGACCCCGGAAAAGCCCTCACGGTATATAAGGGGCCTGTGATAGCTACTTAAACGTTTCCAGGTCTGTGATGTCTTACAATAGAGCAAGAACTACAGCAGCACTCAGCTGAGACAGAACAAAATGTTGTCCAAAAGTGTAAGCAAGTTATAACCAAGCACCACACTTGGGCTTTACAGTAACTACAGCCCTTACTCACTAGTTGTCAGATACTGCAAGCTCAAAGCAATGAGGAAGAAAGAGGAGAATACTGCCACTTGGTGGGAAAAAAGGATAGGAAACATCTGCAACTGTTCCAAGCAAAACTATTTTTACAGCGATGTTCCACCTCCCCCCATCCCAAGTGAATTTCTTAACACCCTGGCTAGCACAACTCCATCAGTGCCACAGGGAATGCTGTACAGCAACATGCCTGCTCTCTGACCAGCACAGCACACGGCTGCCTTGCAGCACGCTGCACAGCAAAAGGTGTGCTTCTGCCTCTCCCTTAAGTGCCACCTGGCTACCTAGCTAGAATTCCATAAAACCCAAAAGGCCAGAAAAAGCTACTCCCTTTTTCACTTGTGTATGAAGACATCTATCTATTAAGGATATCATGGAAGTCAAACTGAAGCTCAGATTTGCCTCCCTGCTATTCTTCTCAAATCCTCACCTTTCATGCCATGCGAGGAATTACATTTTAAACTTAAAAAAATAAGTAACTTTAAATTCACATTTTCACTTCTTGCAAAGTCCCTACTGCACAGTGTACCCAAGACACTAAATCATTTTGATAGATGCGTTGTTTCTTTGCTTCCCAACTGAAGCTGAAACACTGTTCCATGGCCAGGTGTAGTTCTTCCTCAGAAGGGTTAAACAGCAGCACATAGAACTCACTGAAATCAAGAGACTTTAAACAAGCCAACATGAAATGTCAGCAACATGTTAAAGCAGCAGCAGTCTCACAATTCAGTGGTAAGATTTCTGTAATGCATCATTACTCAGACAAGAACTACTGTAGTTCGATTTTGTTCTTGTACTGTCAGATCTTTTCTACATTGCCCTGGAAAAAGGGAAATACAATCCTCATTCCTAAGAAGGGGAAAATGGAAGACCCAGGAAACTATAGACTAGTCAGTCTCACCTCCGTGCCTGGCAAAATCTTGGAGCAGATTCCCCTGGAAAGCATGCTAAGGCACATGAAAAACAATGAGGTAGTTGGTGACAGCCAGCATGGTTTCACTAAGGGGAAATCCTGCCTGAGCAAGTTGGTGATCTGCTGTGATGGGGCTATGGGACTGATGGACAGGGGCAGAGCAGTTGATGTCATCTGCCTGGACTTGTGCAAAGCATTTGGCACTGTCCCACACAACATCCTTGTCTCTAAACTGGAGAGACATCAATTTGATGGATGGACCACGCAGTGGATAAAGAATTGGCTGGATAGCTGCATGCAAAGAGTTGCAGTAAACGGCTCAATGTCCAACTGGAGACTGGTAATGAGTGGCGCCCTTCAGGGGTTGATGTTGGGACTGATCCTGTTCAACATCTTTCTTGCTGACATGGACAGTGGGATTGATGCACCCTCAGCAAGTTTGCCGGCGACACCAAGCTGTGTGGTTCAGTTGATACACTGGAGGGAAGGCAGGGGATCCAGAGGGACCTGAACATGCTTGTGAGGTGGGATAATGCCAGCCTCACCAAGTTCAACAACGCAAAGTGCAAGGTCCTACACCTGGGTTGGCACAACCCCAGGCTGGGCGGAGAAGAGATTCAGAGCAGCCCTGTGGAGAAGGACTTGGAGGTGTTGGTTGATGAGAAGCTTAACGTGAGCCGGCTTCAGTGTGCGCTTGAGCCCAGAAACCAACCATGTCCTGGGCTGCATCAAAAGCAGCATTACCAGCATGGCCCTCTACTCTGCTCTTGTGAGACCTCACTTGGAGCACTGTGTACAGTTCTGGTGTCCTCAACATAAAAGGGACATGGAGCTGTTGGAGCAAGTCCAGAGGAGGGCCATGAGGATAAGGGGGCTGGAGCACCTCCCGTATGAATCAGACTGAGAAAGTTGGGATTGTTCAGCCTGGAGAAGAGAAGCTGCATGGAGACCTCAGAGCAGCTTCCAGTGTCTGAAGGAGACCTGTAAGGATGCCGGACAGGGACTCTTCATCAGGGACTGCAGTGATAGGAAAAGAGGTAATGGGTTCAAACTAAAACAGGGGAAGTTCAGGTTAGATTTAAGGAAGAAATTCTTTCCTGTGAGGGTAGTGAGGCACTGGAACAGGTTGCCCAGAGAGGTGGAAAAAGGATAGAAATAATTGCCTCTTCCTCACTTCCAAAAAAAGGTCATTTATTTTTTCTTCCAACAAGGAAAGGCGACAAAGAATTCCATTTCCAAGTGCCTTTTATCTGCATACAGAAGGCATTCATGATATTTCACACACTGATGCAAGAGAATTTACCAGCTGCAGTACAACTGCCAAGATTCTCAACTGTATATCACTATAAACCCATAAAAACATTGTGGAAACTAGAAGAAATTCCTGCTATAAAACTAATTTTAGCAGAATAGCTCAACAGATTAATTTTATCTCATCTTGTCCTATCAAAACCCTATGTTAACTCAAATGCTTACTATCTGCATTCTATCTATCTGCACTGGGGGGTTGGAACTGGATAATCTTAAAGTCCTTTCCAACCCAAACCATTCCATGATTCTATGATGCTTGAGAAAGCTGCTGGATAAAATAAAGGCCCTCACATGTGTCCTTCACTCAGTATCCCACAAGGCTGCTTATATTGTATGGATGATTGAACTAGCAGAACAATTGGAGCACAGGTATGTATATAAAGTCTCAAATGGATATGGTCTGTGTCTGTCTTCCAGCTTTTTTAGCCCGATGTTATGTTCCTCTGTGCTGTTAAGCCTGTTGTTCAGCAGAAACAAGATGTAATCCCAAGATAAAGATGACTTCAACTATCTATGATAGCTACCATCTGGGGATCTTATTTCACTTAACTTTACACACAACCTTTACAAAATTGCTTCATTCAGAAGTACAGAAAGACAGCTGGAGACAAATGAATCAATTCTGACACATTTCATGACCTCCAGGAGCATAACATAATTTATTAAGTTGTTCTAAATACAGAAAGTATTTCAGCTAACACTGGTTGTAAGAGCATTCTGTACCAAACAGTACATCTCCCAGGTCAGTGCAAAATAGGTGAGATACTGTCAGAAAACATACCTCAGGTCTAATGCACAGGATGACCAAGTTCACAAATGCAGATCTTGATCATGACTCAGCCCGCAGCCTGACTACTTAACTACCTTTGGCAAAAGCCAGAAGTCAAAAGAAACACATTACAGCTACAAAAAGGAAATTATGAAACTAGCCACAGAAGATCACAAATGAACACCAAGCCATACTGATAAGACTTACTCTTCTTGTACTGACCTTCCCCCCCTCCCCACCCCACCACCACACTTTGAAATACCTTTAGGTCACCAGCCTCAGGTTTTTCAGTCTCTGAATCGTCATCTTCCTACAAGACAAGAATTTACAGGATTAAGCTTAAAGAGCAGGCTTGGCAAGTAACTGCACTTACAGCAAACGGCTGGCATTCAGCAGCCCAGCAATAGTCTAAGACCCTTTCCACAGAAAGAAGTTTTACCCCACCCACTCATGACCAGAAAAGAAGCCCTACAGTCAAGGAAAGAAGTGTTCGTTTGCATTGTGGGTTTGTTATTTGGGGTTTTTTTCAGGGAAAAGCATTGCTCAGTAAGAGATGTCCCCTGCAAAAGTCATGCTCCTCCTGAATGCTCAGAACTAAACAATAAGAAACAACAGAACTGGGGAAAAACACATTTCCCATTTGATAATGCTGTCTCTTCCAGTTGGCAGGCAGGTTATTTGCACTTGCCCCCACCATTTAGTAGTACTAGCAGAAAAAGCAGCATTTGCAAGACCTATTATACTCCCAGGCACACAGCAGCAAGACACACAGGACACAGCTGGCCCGCCATCACTCCAAACACACAGGCTTGGCAAGAGTCTGGCATAGCACCACATTCCAAGGATCCAGTGCTACAGCACTGGTTTTGCATAGTGCCCTTGTATCCTCGTCTGCAGATGATGTGAACTCGCACAGAAGGGAACCACTGACAAATGTTACTGTTTTGTGTAACAGACCTCACTCAGTTTTTATTTCTACCAAGAAATTTCTGCCCTGTGAGAGCTTAAAATATTGAACGCAGCCTTGTGTAAAATGCCACACCACATCATAAGTAAGCTCCAGCTTTGGCCCCACCTGTTAGCTAAGCCTACTGTTCCACTGCCCTAGGAGGTACTTCACTGGGGAGCCTAGGGCTACCTATGTTTCCAGGAATACATACTCTGGGTTCAAAACAAACCTGAGGAGCAGAAAACATTTTTTATGTTCACTCAACTCAGTAGAATAGTTTTTCTTCCAAAATTTGCCACAAACTTCAACTTTGTCTCCAAAACAAGAACTTGGTGTTACAGCTTCAAAAAGTGGGGAAAAAAAACCCCAAACCAAACCAGCATGACATTTACATGCAACTGAAAGGAAGAGTTTACAATGAAATGTGCTTGTGTGCTCACCTTGGAGCATGAGCACACAAGCAATTCTGGCAAGGCAAGCTACAGATTAACCACACAATAGTGCCAGTAAGTTTTAATTGCCTGAAGTAACATGCCTATCTCACTGAAATGAGACAAACTCCTTCACTTCAGCTACTCTCCAGCTTACCTTTCTTAAAGATGCACTTATGCCAATAATTCAGACTTCACTGTCAAAGTTTAACAATGGTAAGCTTATAATTAGGAAAGAACCACAGTATCAAGTAACTTGGTGTTTATCAGAAATGAGATTTCTCTCCCTCCACAGTCCCACCTATACTATAAACATAAAAGTCATTTTCAACAAAGCAACAATAGGTCAAACCATACACATTATAGACAGGTAACTAAACCAGCTCCCCACGCCTCCTATCCTAGCAGGGATATCACTGAAACAATCAAAGAAACATTACTGAGAACTGTCTTTGAAAAAGACAGAAACTTTTCAGTCACTGTTAAGGTAAATAATATAAACACAGAGTTGTTTAGATAAAAGCCCAGGACAACCTGAATGCAACTTGCACTGCTTTCTGAAAACAACTCACAACCAATATGAGTGGCTAGCACAAGCAGTATCAAGGAAGGTCTCAATTCTGGTCAAATAAAACTTAATGCAAAAAAACCAAGCCTTGCTCTTCTGCAACAAGCCAGAGGGAAGGCACCCCATGTAACCTGCACACATCTGTACAGTAACCACAAATACACAAAAGATCCACTGCCATTACATGAACAGCAACTTGTACCTCCCAGATGACAGATGCTGCAACCTGCATTCAGAATTGTGTGTGCAATAAAAGCTACTCTATTTACATGGCCATTTGTCAATGCTAACTAAACACAGCTGATCTCGAGCACACCTACCACTTTCTTTAAAGCAATTGTCATGGGTTAAGCCACCCCTTTGGCTAGTTTGGGTCAGGTGTCCTGTCTCTGCTTCCTCCCGGCTTCCCCTCCCCCCTGGCAGAGCACGAGACTGCGAAAGTCCTTGGTTGGAGTAAACATTACTGAGCAACAACTAAAAACATCGGTGTTATCAGCGTTGTTGCCAGGCTGAAAGTCAAAAACACAGCACTGTACCAGCTACTAAGAAGGAGAAAAATGACTGCTGCAGCTGAACCCAGGACAGCGATCTCATTGAAGAAGGGTCTAGAAGTTTGGGATATAAAAAAAAGAATCACTAAAGCAGTAAAGAAGTTTTACTACTTTGCTAAATCAGATGCCAGGGGCAGCCCCTGAATGCTACCGCTTGCACCTTTTCCAGTAAGCAACAGAACAAAGTCAAAAGCAAGAAACAGACACAAATTTCTTGTCTGCTACTTGGGAAAACAGATGGCAGAAACAGTGAGTGCCTCATAAGAGACCAACCTAATGCACAGGAAGTAAATTTCAATGAGGAAAGGTTATCATACCATAGCCCTGTTTTTTTCTAGGTACATGGTAGAGGAAAGGACTAGAAGAGGAACAAGATAACACATTCTAAATGTGGTGGTAAGCAAAAATTTAATGATAATGAAAGCAGACAAGAACCCTCCCCAAACTTACTGTTTCACTGCTACAGACACATGACAACTATATATCCTTTTATGTGTTACCGCTGCACTCGCAGGCAATGAGCTACCTGCCCTGTCTGACAATTCATCAGTTATCTCAGTATTTAGGTCATGTTAAACACATACCATGCACCTGTGACAAAAAAAAAACTACTCACATCTAGGTGGGATGCTGTTACCCCAAGGTAACCTGATGTAGTGAGTGGGGTGAGTTATACACAAAAGAATAACTTTGAGACATCACAAAACTTTATTCTTTTCAGTTCTCCAGCTGACTATGCACCAGTGTGTTCCTCCTAAATGATCATACTGTATGACATATACTATACATGTTTCAACTACACTTAAAGAGTAATTTTATTTTGGTGTGGCTGTTGACTCTTTCTAGCCCTTTTTTCCCCATAGAAGAGACAAATAGCATCAACACAGTTAATAACAAGCAACAAAGGCTGCACCAAGCCACTAAAAAGTTTCAACGCAAATGCTTTCTACTTGAAAACAAAGTGAACAAAAGATTTGGACAGTTCTGAAATCCATCAGCACTGTCAGATATTCCAGCTTCCACTATGGGTTGCAACTCGTGGGCTTTCTTTAGAAAGAAATAAACCTCTGCAATGCATGAAAGGCAACAGGGCAAGCTCCTGCAGCACAGAAGTACTTACTGACTGCCTGCTGTTCTCATCATCCTCTTCTTCATATCCGTCCTCATCACCATCCAGGCGGGTGAAGTCATCATCTCCGTACCCAACTGAGACCAGGCCTCCTTTCTCTCCTAAGGAGAAAAACTTAAACCATGAGGTTTAACTTAAAAGTTAAACCACCTCCTCATCGGAGGTGGCAACGAGCGAGGCCTTCATTCCACAGGGGAAGGTGGCGGGCTGGGCACCTCCCTACCCTCACCCGTAGCCGTTCCTCCATCGCTTCCCGCCGCCCCAGCCTCGCTGTCCGACTCCGGGTCCGAATCCTCAGCGTAAACCGCCAACGAAGACAAGACGCTCCGCTTCGCCGCCGCCATCTTCCACCTCCTCCAAGGCCGGACTTCCGGCGCGCGGAGATGGCGCGCACAGAGCAGTCACCATAGCAACACCTCCCTCCTTCTTCCGCCTGAAGCAGCCTCATGTTAACCCGGGTTTGGCTCCTGCGCCCGCTCGCGGCGAGAGGAGAAAAACCCGTCCGCACGGCGGAGCGGGGCTGCGGCGTGGCAGGGACAGGAGGCGGAAAGGGGAGCGCTGGCCCTTTAAAGTGTGGCTCCTGACGTCATCGCGCGGCGCCGCACAGGAGCTGCTGGACCCTACCCAAGT